AAGTTGTTGTAGAATTGGTGTTGAATTCAATTGAACTGAAGTGTGAGTGGTGGTGGTGGTGGTGGCAGTGAAATGAGATAGTTAAATTTGACTTCGATCGATCTCGATTTACCAAATTCAAAATCGAATTCTTAAAACAATCAAAATGTTCAACTCAGCATCTGAAGCACATCATCAAACCACTTCAAATCAAATCAAATCAACTATCAAATCAAATCTGAAGAGAAACTCAATCCGTTCAACTTCAAATCAAGCTTATCTTACCAAATTAAATTATTCATATTCATTTAATCTGATCGGTCATCGGAGTTGTGTGAATTGTATTCAATTTAGTTCATTTCATCATGGTCGTTTCTTGGCTAGTGCTGGTGATGATCATCAAGTTTTGATTTGGGATACCTTTGCAGATTTCAATCAAATCAAACTTCCATTAATCACTTTCAAAGGTCCTTTGGCTAATATCTTTTCTTTGGATTTTACAATCGATGGTAAAAGACTCTTAGCGTAAGTGAAGTGGATGATGATTCGTCTCTCTAGATCTCTGAAGCAATTCATTATATTCACTTTGACTTCATCTCTCTCAGAACTGGTTTAGATTCAAGAATTTATATCTATGATTTAGAAAAACCTTCAGTTTGTTCAAAACTTTATAACCATTCAAATCAAGATTCTCAAAATAAAATTCATGATGAACCATCTCAAGTGATCTCATCACATTCGGTATTAACTCTATCATTTCTTTATATTTCACACTTTAAACCGAATTCAACACTCATCAATTGATTTGTGTTCTATCTTTAGAGTTCTTGTAGAAGAGTCACTTGTCATCCTGATCAACCTGAACGATTCTTATCAGCTAGTGAAGATGGAACAGTGATGGATTATGATTTAAGATTAAAGACCGGTTCACAAGCTTCAGTTTTACTTCAAAATCAAGTGGAGTATAGTGATGTGGTTTGGAATCCAGTGAAGTTTAACCTTTAATCTTTTTGATTGATTGATCGATGAGAAACTAATCTTGATCTTGATTTATTCTTTTTTTCTCTTTAGATTTCTTCTCATCTTTTTGTGACGAGTACAGATTATCAATTAAGATTATATGATCGTAGAATGTTAGGATCAGATTCGATCAAAAACCTTTCTTCATCAATCTTAACCGTAAAGTCTTGATTTCACTTTTAACGAATTCATATCTTTCACTTCATCTCACCTCACCTTGAATGATAACTAATGGAAATCCATTTGATGTTCCAATTTAATTTGTTTTTCTATTAGTATTCTACAAATCTAATGATGACCAAACCTAAATTAAGGATAAGTAAACCTGAAATCTCATCAATCTCATTCGATGAATCAGGTCAATTATTATCCACCATCATGTCTAGATGGTATCCTACCCTTTATTCTCTAGACGATCCAAATCCAATCGCCGTTTTGAAATCTTCAAATTACAAAGATTATATCACCATCAAAGTTGAGTTTTAAATTTAATCATCAAGTTTTCAAACTTTTGGTTTTGTTGATTGGATTTGACCTTTTAATAGCATGGTAGTTTTTCAAGTTCGAATCATTCCAAAGATTTACATTTTGCGACGGGTAGTGATGATTTTAAAATTTATGATTGGAGATTACCTTCGATTGGAGAATTGAAAGAAGAAAGATTGATGATTGAAAACATTTCAGATTGTATAGATTCCACTTCTTCGGAAATCATTGGTAAGAAAAGATGTTTGATCACCTTTACCAACCCCCTCCCCCCCGCAAAAAAAAATCAATCATTGATGTCTAATGAGGTTTTTTTTATGAATTTTTTTTTTCTTGTCAAAAAAAAAGGGTATGGCAAAGGACCAGTGACGATTCCAAAGATCATTGAAGAACCTGAGTTTATTTTATATGGTCATAAATCAATACCTAATTCCATCAAATTTCATCCAAGTTTACCATTTATCTTAAGTTCAGGAATCGAAAGTTTGATCAAAGTTCATACTAATCAATCCATTCATATTAAGAAGTTAACTGATTCTTCGAAAATTAAAGAACATCAACTTAAATCATCATCATTATCTCATGATGATGATCAAGAGATCTTGAATGAGAATGGTAGAAGTGTTGAGCTTGATGATGAAGAATCAAATCTTAATGAAACAGATCGATTAGCTGAAAGAGAAACCTTGGAGATGTTTGAGGAGTATTTGTTGAATGGTGATGATCAGTTGGTTTGGCTCAAAGTGGGAGTGGGTGATGACTCTGATGAATTTGGATCCGATGAGGATGAGGATGAGGATGAGGATGAGGATGAGGATGAGGATGAGGATGAGGATGAGGATGAGGATGAGGATGAGGATGAGGACAATGATGATGATGAAATTGAAGAAATGTTATAGGGATGTGAATTTTTTGTATGAAGGCAAGTCTTTGAAGCCTTTTATCAGTTTGATCATCTTTTGCAATTTGATTCAAAATTCAAACTGATCAGATTATGAAGAATTTAGCTTCTTTTAATTTTGAATTGACTTGAATTCATCAAACTTGATCATGACCTTATAACTTATTCTTCTTTATCCATTTTCAAATAGCCTTGTTGATCTCTTGTAAATAATGTATTGAATTGTCCTATAGATGTATATCATTTATGTAATTGATTTGATTGAACACAGATTTTTTTACTTCAAAAAGTTACAAAGGTCTATAATGGAAATTATAGGAGAGAAGTGAATCTTTTGAAAAACAATTCAAGAAGTGCAAAGTTATTAACAATTCACAATCAAAGTAGATTCAATTTTCAAAACAAAAAAAACGAAAAAAAAAGATCTTGTAGAAAGATCTTAAAGGATTAAGAAAAGGTAAAGGTTATTTTTCTTGGTTCATTGATCATGGATTATTAATGGGTAAATCAGGTTTGAGATCACACCAATCTATCATTGCAGATTTACCATATCGATTAGCTAACCATTCATTTGCAAGTTTAAAATGACCGTTACCCAAAAAGCCACGATGAGCAGATAAAGGTGAAGGATGAGCCGATTTTAAAATAAGATGTTTGGACTAGAGAAACACATCAAAAAGAACCGATTCGAATCATCAATGGTTTTAGTTCAAAGAGAATCCAGAGAGAGAGAGAGAGAAAATGGATGACTTACTTCTGATAATCTGGTTACTCTATCTGCTGCCCATTTACCCCAACATAAAAAGACTACACCTTTTCCAAATCCGACGGAGCTTTGATTGATCAAATCATCATCACCTTGATGATCATCAAGCTTTTGTTTCTTCAAACTTGATCCGCCTTCTGTTTCTTCTTCTGTTGAATCTTCTTGAATCTTCCTTTCTTTTAAAAGATCTAATCCTCCATAAAGATCAATGGCATCTACTACTGAATCTGTGAATTGTTCCCAACCATGACCTGCATGAGATCCAGCTGATGATTTACGAACAGTTAAGGAAGTGTTGAGTAATAAGACTCCATGATCGGCCCAAGTGCCGAGTGAACCATGATTAGGTTTTTGGAAATTCATCTTTGTATTCACGTTTAAGTTCTTCATGAATCTAAACCCGCCCTCACCCCAAAGAAACATCACCATCATGAGTTAGTTAGAATCCAAGCTCTTGATCTATCATTTTTTTTTGCTTTAGTCTGATGGAAATTCTTTACATTTCTTAATGAACCTGGAATCGGAATTCCTCTTGGAACTGAAAATGCAAGACCATGAGCTTGACCAGGAGCATGATACGGATCTTGACCGATGATCACCACCTTGATACTTGTCAATGGAGTTCGATGAGACCAAGAATAAATATTAGAAGGAGGAGGAAAGGTTTGATTGGTAGGTTCGGTTTGAAGGAATCGTTTGAGATTAAGAAAATAAGTACGAGTGAGTTCTGAATGTAAGACAGTTTAAATAAGTTAAACCTAAACCGATCTTGGGATTCAATTCGATCGAAAGTAAGTCTTGATGTTCTTTTGATAAAGTTTTGAGTTTCGATTCATGATCGATTTTAGGTAATTTAGTATATGAGATTCTGATCATCGAAGTTTTTGAGCTTGCTTGGAACTGGTTTAAGGTTGTTTGGTTTTGATTTCTTCAAAGGTTTAGATGAACCTATTGAAGGACTATTGAATCAAGTATCAGTCAAAAGGGTTTTTTTGTTTTCTAAAGATGGTTTTTTACAATAAGATCAATCAATTCGACCAACTTTGGTTTTGGATAGATTACTCTCGAAGGTTTGATTCCAAACATATCTGTGATTGATCTTTGACGTTTTTCACCTGATTTGGGTGAACTCATCTTGAATTAATTGTAGGGTTTTTGTTTTGTTTGGATCGTATTATGAATTCTAAGAAGAAAAAAGGTTAATCAACTTGAGTTTGTTGAATGAGATTGAGATTTGGAATACTTCAAATCAAAGAAAGGAGTACTCACTTTTCCTGATTTCCTTAAAGTGGAGTTAAGTGTCAAGTTGGTAAGATATCAGTCGATCAATCCAATCCAGTCCAATCAAACCACGCGTTTGTCCTCACTCGGGTTTACATACTCGGGGCATTCAGTCAAAGGAAGTTCGGATATTTGAAGAATGATTTTAGATTCTGAAGACTTCAATCGATCGATCAATCAAATCACTCTCCACACTTTCAACCAATCAAACATCAAAACTTATTCCATCAACTCATCATCCTGAACTTCATTGAGAATTCAAAGAAAACATCAATCCAATCAATCCATCATTCAATCCATTCTTCATAAAAACAAATCAAATCAAGACCTTTCTCATCTTTCTTTCGGCTTTCATTGGGCCCATATACAGGGTCTTGTCTTTGTTAAAATTCATTTTACTAGAGCTTGGAATCTCATCCTGGTCAATAATCAACTCAACACGAACAAACAACTGATCAAGCTTCAAGACCAAGGTGTTTTCATTCATCACTTCAACTTCACCTACCAATGAATTTAAATGATCAAAAACGGTTTTCAGAATCCGATAATGCGGACGTTCGGGCGTATGCTGGCTTAGATCAATGGTAGATCGTCTCCCTCCTATCCTGAGTTATGATAGAGGAGAAGGTTGCGGGTTCGAGTCCCGTGGTTAGTGTGTTTTTGTGCCAGATTTGAAGATTTGGTCATGCCAGCAAGCAAGATGGATTGAGCACATGTTGGGTGAAGCAGACTTTGATGCTGGGCAGCTGATCATATGATGAATGGGATTTAGTAAAGAAATTGGTCATTTTGATCGGGGAGAGAGACCAATGGTAATAATCAAGATCAAGAAAGCAAAGGGTGATGGTGATTGTTTAATTCAATTTATTGATCCTCTATATGAAGGCTTGTTGAATTTCAAAGATCTTGTTTGTTGGATTGGGGATTTGGGGTTCAAGACAAGATCAAGCTTGTTCTATGTAGGCTGCTTGTCTGGTGATTTATACCACCAGGTCACTTTTTGTTGACCAACTGGTTCCAAGAGGTTGTAAATGTCTTCCAGTGAAAAGTGATTGATACTTGTGTGCAAGGCTGAGGTGTGACTGGGTTTTTGAGGGTTTGACTAGATACAGTTGATCACTTGTCTCTGATAGTCCTAGTTACTAAACCAGGGTGATGCTCAAACTTCCCAATGGTCCATTTATCAATGGATGAGAGATGGTTCTCAACTGGAACAAGACTGATGGGTCTCCCAGTAAGAAGTGGTTAATTTGATCTCTATAGCTTATCACTTAAAAATATAGATTTTCTTAAGTAGCTTTTGTCATCTTATATCACCATTCTTCCATCATTGTTCTCTTTGAAAACAAAATCACCTCATTGTCCTTTTCAGATTGAAAATCTTGAAATCTTCTAGATCACTCACTTCAGTAGCATAAGTGATCATCAAACTTTGTAATAAATTAAGAAGTTCAAACCTACAATAAGATTTAACTGGTTCAGAAGAAACAAACAAGTTCAAGTCAACTTTCTTTAAGATTCCTAAGCAATTTCATGAAAACTTATTTAAGAATTCTAGAATAAATTAGGTTGTAATTTAAGATTCTTCTTGAAACAAGAAATTCGTTTGATGGAGTTTCATAAAGTTCCTTGTCAAATTCCATTGCAGTAGGATTTGATGTTTCAATATAAAGTTGAAATTAATGAGGTAGAAAGATACAGAAACTCAGTAGGCCCAACCTGAAGCATGGATCATGACCCAATTTCATCACAGGCAGCAAAGAATCAAAAAAGTTTCTCCAAATCTCTAACTTCCTTCAAAAATTGGCTCTCACTTCCTCTATCAATGTTTAGATCCTCACCTAACAGTTTCAAATGGCTTGCAAAAGGCTGTCACCAGGAAGTCACTTTGAAATCAGATCAGGTTTTGAGTCCCCAGTCAAAGGACTACACTGCAAAGCGCAAACAATTGCAACACTGTTGACCATAAAGATAGTTCACAACAAAAAGATCAACAAAGGTTAATCCATTGTGTCCTTTAGCCTCCAAACCAGAAATCATCATAAGGGACATCAATGTTGAACCAACCACAGATCCTCCTTTCCAACTCATTGTCCATGGAATTATAAGACTTGCAGGAATTCAAGTACATCTAGCAAAAAATCTTTCCTTCAAAAATTGAAGTCTCTAATCCAAGTTGACAGGTTGCTTGATCAAATGAATGTCAAATCATTTGGATTCACTTTGCTTTTGATGTCTTTTGATCCACATCTCATAAATCAACTCATTGTGATCTGCTCATGGGATCCCTGGAGGGACTTCTGTCAAAATTGTTTGATTAGATTTACACCTTGGTACGTTTTTAGAGAGCTAGATACTTACTTTCAATCCCTGAAAGTTCCTGGTTTTGTGATGTCTATATTCCAATCATGAGAATACCAGTGGAATTTATGCTAGATGAATCATTTGGCCCAAGAAAGGTACTGAGGTATCTATTGCCATTACAAGCTAGATAATCTATTGCAAACTTTGGCATATTGGCTCAACACCTGGAGTGGTTGCATGACTAGTACAACAAGGATGAAAATACTATCAAGCTCCCAGTGATCATCTTGACCAGTGCATCACTTTTGAAAACTTGGTGATCAAGTTTACAATTGAGGAATATGTTGCAGTTTCACTTCTCACAGTGCTTTTAGCCAACAATTTGAACACTAGCAGACTTTTAAGATGCAAGAAACAGAGTACAAGGAACCCTCTTTCATAAACAAGACTTCTGGGTGATACAATCATTATGGATGGTAGGATTTCTCAATGAACAACAAAGAACTCTCTATCCAAGTTCCTCAAATTCTCCACCAATGATTTAATCTATGTTTTCTCTTGAAATTTGTTTGATTAAACCAAGCTGTTCCAGACTGATCTACAGCATGACATGATCATTGATCTGTCCTGATTGCATCATCACTTCATGTTATTCCAGGAAAATATTCCTTCCATCAGATATTGAGTATACATATGTATTAGAAAACCAAAATCTCTTTGACTCACATTAAGCATTTACAGGAAAATTCCCCACACCTGCGACATTGCAAAAGCTCTTGGCCCTCATCATCAACCAAATTAACTGGATCAAATTGATGACCATTGACTGAGTTGTGGATATTTAAAATCTCTAAACCTTTTTTCTGGTCAGCCTTGGGGATTTCACTGAGGGATCTTCTAACAAAATCAGTGGTTGAGATAGCTTGAATTAAGATTGACAGTAAGGAGAATTGTACCAAAAAGGATCATAGCTCTAGACATTTTGAATCAAATATATGTTATGTATTTTTAGTTTGAAAAAAAGAATGAATTTTTTTATTCAAGATATATATATATATATGATATCTAGTTTATCTTGGTGCACGAAGAGGTAGATGCTTTGATGAGAACGATATCATGAGGCTGGTTGCAAGTGTTTTTATATCCCTCACATTTTTCTTGTTCTTCTACCAATTCATCAAATGTACGAGGTTTTATATTCACTCTGGAGCATAGGATCAGCTAAACGATCTTTTTCTGATAGTGATCGATCTTCAAAGCCTCTTGATCTCCTGCAACATACAAGAATCCCTTAAACGCCCCAGAGTGCTCGTGTCACTGTGCTAGAGTTTGGATCAGATCATTATTCATAGAAAAATCACTGCTAGAAACTCGTTACACTTTGCTGATAGGCAAATATCGTAATGACCATTTCACACCTTACTGATGTGCTGAACATCCTTTTCATTTGGGAACCCAGCTCACATGTTCTGATTTGAAAATCTTTACTCTTCTGGTGATTATGATTCATGACTTTGGACCCTGTGCTTTGATGAACCACAAAGTTTCCCTGAGGCACATCAAACGGTTCACCAAGGAAACTTAAGATGTTGGCATGAGATCTTACCCCGTGATTTCCATCTGATCCTGATGATTCTCAAATCCTCACGTGTATTGACCTCTGACTTTTGCCAAGGTGACTTGTTGAGTTGATCTCATGCCCGGGTTTTTCCTTGTCTTGTTTGGGTTGTGATAAGAAGTGTTTCAAAGTTTTGAGTCGTATGTCAAATGTGCATTTATGTATCATCATCCCTCAGAGTGAAGTGGGTGGTAGTCAAATATCTGAACCAATTTAGTTCAACAAGTGTCAAATAATATTATGTAGAACAAAAAAAATGGTAAAAAATATCCCGGCAGTAGGATAAATTGACGTAAATTTTATGAAGCCAGGATGAAGATACAGTGTCTTGTTTTGATCAAACAGCTTAAAAAAAGTCCTCTCCATGTGTCCGTTTCCTGACTAATTGTGATTTCCTGGCATGAAGACTCCAAGGATCAAGTCTCCTTTTGTAGTTTTTTGAATTTTTGAAGAAAAAAAAACTCACAAGCAAAGATCACTTTACCCAGTAGGAATACTCACTCACAAGCTTTTTCTACATGTGATTTCCTCTTCATCAGCTGGGAAACCATTCTTCATGATACTTTTTTGAAGCTTGGTTTTTTAAGTATGTAACTTGGTGTACAGCTTTTATTGCAATTCAGAAGAAAATTATTAGAGTTTTTGGTCACAGACAGAATTGGGGGAAGGAAATTGAACCAAAAAGTCTGCTGTACAGATATTGGGTAAAGTGGGGTTTGCTTGTGAGTTTTTTTTTCTGCAAAAAACCAAAACACTACATCAGAAGACTCAATCCTTGGAACAAGTCTGACTTTCAGCGCAGACATTAGTGTGAAGTGCAGTGAAGTGTTGCAATGCTGCACTTTGAACTATCATCTTTGCCCAAAAATACAAATTTGATGTTATGCTTTTTGCTACCAGGCAGCACACCAGCACTACCACACTCCTTTTTTTGATTCTCTACACAACCAATTTAAGTTTCTGTCCAATTTCCTTCTCAACACTTTTTTACAACCTTTTTGTTGAGCTTTTTTGTACCCTTTTTACATCAGAACCCCATTATCATATATCTTTGGTTTTTACTTACCTTTTTGGTTGAAATAAAGATCATTGTTTTCATTTTATGCTACACTGTGGAAGACTGTAAAGGAAAAGTACACTTTCAGCTACTTTTTTGGCCAAGAAAAAACACCCTGCTACTTCTAAAGCTACTGAGCTTGACCAAGTGCATTTTTTTTGCTACACTACCAAGTTTCACAGTTGTAGCACTGCATGTCATTGCAAGCCAGGCTTGCTTGGAATACCCATGCTGGGAAATCACAAGTGGCCACAAGGAGAGGGCTTTGTTAATCTAAGTAAATTGATCAAACAAACCACTCTTGACTCAACATTCACAATTTTTCTCTTGACAACTGGAATGTTTCTTTATGACAATAACATCCAAAGAGTCCTGCATTGATTTTTTTTATCATTGATTTCTTGATTTGACACATCTTATTAGGGGGGGGGGAGTCAAGTCTGAGTTTTGGTGTCATCATACACTTTGAAAAGTGGTCCATTGTTGTCAAATTGGTATTTTTTTCACAATTGGAACACCTTTCCAGATGTCCCAATTTGAAAATTGGTTGATTGTACAAAGATTTAAAATTTCAAACACTTGTCAGATTTTTTTTGAACTCTTGTGTAAAATCAATCCAACTTTGAAACCCCTGATGCTGTGGTGAATGGTGAGGATATCTCTTTATGTGAACAAT